CCCCAAAACCCCAAAACCCCAAAACCCCAAGATGACTAAGTTAAGGAAAATAAACCAAACAATAATGAAAAATTAGAATAAGAGTGATTAATAAAAATGATCACTGCTAATTATTGATAATCTTAGGCTTTATTTGGTTTTTATTGCTATTATTTGTATTTAGATTGATATTGTTGCCATTATTTTACTAGGAATTGCTAATTACGCTCTAGTTATTTCTGATGCCTAATTAACCTATTTAATGACTATTATGAGAGTCAGAAGTGACAATGCCCAACCTAGAATTCGCTATAGTAGAAGCACCAGCTAATTACTAAGATTTCTTTTTATCCAACCCACCTTTGGCTTACTAAAGGATATATGGCTTATGGCCTGAATTAGCTACATTTCCAACATCTTTTTCGTTGAGAGTACTAAACTAACCAGTATCTAATGATTTTAGGTATTCAGCTGTAGCTGGCTTCTTTTCAATCAATCTACTCATCTATGCACTCATTGGAGGTTATTTACCAGTGTCTTATCCCATAAAATTTCCAATAACTCCTCTGCTATGAGATTGCTGGGAAAATTGCAAAGTCTACTGTTATTAATATAATTGCAATTTAAGGTTGTCAATCGTCATCATGTATTCAGTCTCCTTTGCTTTCTAATGATCAAGCTCGTCCTTAATTTATTTCTTTTGCTGCTTCAAGAATGTAACCATCTAAATATATTTAGCTATTTGCTTATCACTATCTTCACGATACCTAGTTATTCTACGTCTGTGTTTCTCGTCCAAAAATTTAAATTCTTGCATCTATTTCATTAGATTTTCTTCGTTTTTTTCATTAATATCATCAAAAGCTTTTTTTAAGTTCTAAATTTCATTTAATTGTAGCTCACATTACTATTCTAGTCCACCTTGATCTTGCATGTTATTTTGATTATTTTATTAATTTGAGGGACTACTCTTTAAACTTATTTACCTTAATTATCTCTCTAAATGAGGCTATTAAAACACTTGCACTGGGCATTGGCCAAAATTTCTTAATTGTGCTTCTAATGCGAGTCTTTCGAGTGGGGATGATATCTGACTAAAATCTACATTATCCTCCAATGAAGTTGGCTAGAACAAATTATTTGCAAATGAGGCCTTCTCTCCTTTCTATAGATGTCCAAATACTAGATCTATCCAGATGTGAAGATTTGCGGAGACATAATTTGATTCTAGGGCTTCTCTATTTTTGATAATAAAGTCTTAGTGAGATTTAGCCCAAGGGGGTAGGGTAACATGATTAACTTGCTCTTCCAAATTATTCAGTCCAAGTTCAAGTTAGTTTAAATTTTGAAGGAAACTTCCATCACCGAAATAAAACTCTGGAATTAACTCTTTATTATCAGCTAAGACCTTCATACCATTACTCCATGATGAGCCAATATCAAAAAATATTCTATCCGGTGGTCCACCATATCCTTCATTCTAAACTTTTAGGATGTAAGAAGGAACCTGTCTTATAAGATAGTAGAGTACAATACCTGGTGTTGAATAGTGACTTAAGAACATATATGGTTTCTCAGATTCAGTTACTGAACCTAATGTTCCGCTGTTAATTCCACTATGAGGGTATGTATTAACCAGCGTAGAAGACTTATTTATTATTTCAAAGTATTTAGATTTGAATTAATCCAATTTATCTGGTGAAAGAGCACCTAGTTACTTAGATAAATCTCTGAATGTGATTGATTGCTTTGAATAATTTAATTGATCATTTTTATAATCTTAAATGATCCAAGGGAAAACTGGATATTGGGTTAAATCGTTGAAAGATCTGTGTGAGATAAAATTAATGTAAAGTAAGTAATCTCCATTAGAAATTTAGCCATTAGCCCAGCTTACCTGGAAATACTAAACATTCTCAATTACTTGATTTTATAGATTTGGTGAATGTTTCAATATCAGATTAAGACATTTTTCTTATTGCTATTTTGTTTAGAATGTAACTATAAATTCGTCTGAAGTAAAATGAGTGACTAATCTAATGGAATGATATTCGAACATAAATCTATATGTGAGAGCAAACTTAATATTGTCCATATTGATATCAATTTAATTGGCTTAAAAGGGAGCATTCATTATCGGAATAAGTTATATGCTAAATTACTTGCTTTCATCTTATCTTAAAAGCATCAAATAGGTATGTTCACCCTCAATCGTAATTCTTTTAACTATCTACTTAATTAAAAATTTCTAGCTTTTATCATTCTTCTCAGAGTGCTTGATATATTCTAAGTATCGCTTTTTCTCATTATCTATATATCTGCGTAATATATCATCTTCTGACAGATATAACCCTTGTCCTTGACTTAGGGTATCTGGCTAGGTAAATTGCATAAGATTATTTATGAACTGAGATCTTATAGGCTCTTCTTATAATAGAACAAATAGAAGGTACCTAGGTTGATTATCTTAATTAAGCTTGCTTTTTTAGTCTTAATCCAGATATTGTGGTCCAGGTGGCTTTCTTGGAATTTTGATTACTTATTTCACAGTTATTAGTAAGATTTGCATCTCAAAGATTTTTTCTTGGATAAAGGAGGTACTTATATTGGCGTTATTTTGATTTTCTAACATACCAAGATGCTAACTAGACAATTTATTAGTTATAAACACATAAAACTCCCTTAGGAATTGTTATTTTTATGTACTCTCAAGACTGACAAATGTTTATTGCTATATTTGAGGTCTAAATGTTTTTGAAGGTGAGACTGAACCAATAGAATCTGTAGTTCTATTCTTTGATTTTTAAAGAACTTGCTTTTTAATAGTAAGTTTTTGGCCTTTACCATCATTTTTCTACTAGGATTAAGCCAGACCATCGTGAATATTTGTATTATTATCATTATATGGAGTCTACTAATTTGTGAAACCATTATTTGTATTATTATTTGTTGCAGACTAAGGTAGAGATGTGTATTTATTTGTATTAAGAGGTTGATTCATTTTATTTAGAAGTAGGGGCTGCTTAGTTGATGAATGAGGAATTCCTTCTTAATTTTAGATTATTGAGTGCTACTGTTAATTTTTGTTATTAGCTGAAAAGAAATTATTGTTAGCAAGATTGATGCTAGTATTGTTGGATTAATGATTGAAGAGACTTGTCATTTATTCACCATTAAATTGTTCAATTGTGAATTATTAATTAAATCTTAGCTTTACCAAAGGATCTTAGACCTTATCATTATCAAATACAATTGATCTACTATTCAAATGTAAATTTCCACTATCCCTATAGATTCATTAATAAGTAAATAATTTTATTATTTGAAGAATTACAATTGCTTCACATTTGGCTTATCAACAAATAGACCTGCTTAAATTTGATACAAATGAATCTCTTAGTTATCAATGTGGAACAGATTAAATCTTGGGTGAGGCATATGAGTTTATCCGAACGGCAAACCCAAAGGAGATAATTTAGATGACTAAGCCATTTTAGATGAAATTTAAAATAATGCTTAATTCAATTTTTCTTTTACATTCTTAACTAAAATAAACGCTATAGTGGGGTTTTGGGGTTTTGGGGTTTTGGGGTTTTGGGGTTTTGGGG